TAATATTAATGTGTAAAATAATATTAATGATGATTTCTGGGTGAATCCAATGTCTATTTAAGAAGATTATTCTTTAAATGATGTCGTAAGTTTTTTTTTCGAATTTTTGTTTTATATCTAACGATATGCCACGATCCCATAAAGGGGTGGCATGTCGTATTCGTAAATACGTTTACATTATATATTTTTTTTTACATTAGATATAATTGTTATTATAAATATATATAGTATATATTATAACACGTCACTCATAATCACGTGTTTTTTTATGTAATATCTAATATAGATGTGATATTTGTATTATTTTTTTTTTTGGAATTTAATTTTGATAAATTAATAATAGAATAAAGAAAGCGATTGATATATTTTCAGCTTTGTGTTTTCTGATCTTATTAATTTAATATAATTTTTGACAGTTTGTTCTTAGAAGTGTTGGGTTAGTTTATAGGAGTTGTTTTAGGTAGGTTTTGTTTTAGTTTGTAGGTTTTTTTTTTACATACACTCAGAAATTTTCTCATTATAGTTATTAGTAGAGATAAATTAAATCGAATTTTTTAAAATATTAATATAGAAGGAATAAATATTTAAATTAATTTTAACTATTTGCTAATATTTAGAATAAAATATAACATTTTTTAAATAGAATTGGAAAATTTAAACCTTTCTGCCATCAGCAACAATATTTCACATGTCAAATGAGCAAAAAAATCAAGATTTTCGGCCGACCCCTTTCAATTTCGATAAAAAGTTGTAGACTGATTATATATGTTCCCATTAGATTATAAACAAAATTTTAGCGCATTAGCAACTATATTAGCGGAGATAATCGGGGTTAAAGGTCCAAAAAACGGCTTTTTTTGCTTTTTATTGATGTTAAATAATTAGTTTCTAATTTAAAACTAAATAAGATCAAATATTGAATCTAATATCAATAGCTAAGTTAATAATTGATAATTATGGCGAAAACATCAAAATTAATTTTTTTTAAATATGGGTCATCTTATGGTCAGTTGAAAATTTGAAATAATATTTCGAAATGAATATGATCTCCGATTTTTAATTTTTTTTAAAAATATTATCCATTTATGATTTTTTTAATAATTTCTTCAACAATCAGCATGGCTGGATATTTATTTAAAAAAATATTGCAATTTTTATACTTTAAAAAAATAGATGGCGCTATATATAATGGTTTTAATATGTTACAATTTATTTTTTTATTGATTAAAAATATTTTAATGTATATATATCATACTAAATCGATTACAATGTGCATTATATATATATTTATTCGTAATTCAGATCATGAAATTTTTAAAATCTTCAAACATTTTGCCTAATTAAGATAGTTTATAAATTAATTAAATCTTACTTCATCTAAAGGAATACAAAGCCTGGCTAGCTTGTGAGATTTCTTCAGGAGATAATATATATGTTTGACTGGTGGGAGTAGAAAGATTGACCAGCGAGAGAATATGAGATTTAAGCAACACTAAAATATCATCTTTCAGAGGAAATTTAAATGAGGCTCCACAAGGGTGTAATAATCGGATTTTTACTTTTTCATTTGTTTCATTTTTATCGATTATAATATTTATAAATATAATTTTCTCATTTAAAAACGAAACTTGTTTTATATTATATTTTTGGGAATTTGAATATATTTTGGTTTTTAGTCTATTTTGATCAATGGGAATAACCCCGTGATTTTTTTGGGTCCCATGTATGGGCAGTGTAGAATTAAATCTTTTACGAATGGCTAATTCCCCTTCGATATATTCTTGATTGGATACATATTCAAATTGAATTCCATTAATATTTTCTTTAGACTAATTATATAATTCGAATGGGGTTTTGATTTATATTTAAGCTAAGCTCTGGCAATTAATCTTTTGACTCTGATACCGTCACATGCATTTTTGCCGTGAGCAGTGGCAAAGAAATGCCATTCGGCAGGAAATTAAAATCGTATTTATGAAGCATATGTTCAGAGAATTTTGGCGATTCTTGTATTGGGACGCGGCTCCAACTGAAAAATATTTTATTTTTTCTGGTTTAGAATTAAATCTGGCTGTTAAGAAATTAATAAATTTTTTTAATAAAGATGTACTGCACTAGTATTATGGCTTAATGATTCGGATATAATAACAAAATTTATATTTTTTAATTCTTCTCCAGATTTATAATATGCTACAAATGGATGTATAGTGGCCTGCACGTTGTTCCAATGAAATCCCTGAACTTCATCTTGTAAAATGAAGGAATAATTCTCAGAATAATCTAGAATTGTTAAAAATTTCCCATCTTTTAAATTTTCTTTGGAATTCTTCAAAAATAAACCTTAAATTTGAACTTTTTCTGATAATCGATGAAATCATCAAAGGACTTTATATAATAGTTTCAAGATTTGCTCTATCCATCGTGATCCATTGTTTTAACGGGACATATTCTATACGATTTCTCTGAAACAATTGTTATATTTGGCCCTTAAGAGATTCTATACCAGGGCATTGATCACAATTCGTTAAATAACATTTTGGCTGAGATGGATTACAAATAATGCCAAAAGATAGTTATAAGAATTTATACAGTAATCTTCTCCTGCTGTAATTTCAGCTATTACATTTGTCATTAATTTCACATTCTGATGAATAGCGCGACACAAGCAGTTGTATGTGCCACTAGCTCCAACTAAAATACAGTTTTTTGGTCTAAGTTCGGCAAATTTTGAGAATCGAATTGATATATTTGGGTATTCTTCCTTAAACATCTTGAATATTTCTTTAAGATTATTTAATTTAAGTTTTTTTTGGACTGGTTCTTTCTCACCTTCAACAGATACACAATCTTTTATTCCAGGCATGAGTCTGCTTATTTCATCAGAACTATAAAAATCTTTGACGAGTTTAAATGTTTTTTCGTTTAGTATCTTTCCTGCTTTATGTTTTGGGAATGAAAGAATTCCACTTTCTTTTACCACCATTTTGAATTTTCTTGACATGTAAGATGTTACGTTGAATTCCTCTTGAATTTTATTTACACATCTATAAGGCAAAATTGTTAGAATTTTGTTGATTTTTGATAATTTATTAGTTATCCTTTAATATAATAAGAATTTTCTCTTTCATTGGACTATCAATCTCGGAATCAGATATTTCTAAAACCTTACTCTTTGTTGCTTTTTCAATCTTTTGAATTTTATTTTTAGGATATTTTTTCTCCATTAAACGTTCTCTTTTAATTGGTGATTCTCCAATATTGTGTAATGTTTCGTTTATCGATTCAAAGGCATCCTGATTATGGGTTATTGGGGATAATCTTCGAAATTTTCTTTATATCTCTGGTTATTTTAATAATTTAAGATAATGACAATTTCATAACATTCTTGGTCTTGATGGGTATGACTTAGTATGAGGGGTGGAGGGGAGGGGTAGGCCTGGTGATTAATGTGATTTTCGATTTTTCCCTTAATAATTTCCTGCACTCCTTTAATCCTGCTTTTTTGTTCGTGTGCTAGTCAGATTTTTCATTATTTTTAATTTACATTGAAATATTAAAAAAATTATTAATTTTTATCCTACGAATATCTCAGGAGAATAAGGTTTACAAAGTTATATAATCGATGTTTATGATATCTTATACATTAAAATATTTTTAATCAATAAAAAAAATGAATTTTAACATATTAAGACTATTATATATAGCTCCATCTATTTTTTTTAAAGTATAAAAATCGCAATATTTTTTTAAATAAATATCCAGCCAAGCTAATTGTTGAAGAAATTATTAAAAAAATAGTAAATGGATAATATTTCTTAAAAAAATTAAAAATAGGAGATCATATTCATTTCGAAATATTAATTTCGAATTTTCAACTGACCATTAGATGACCCATATTTAAAAAAAATTAATTTTGATGTTTTCGCCATAATTATCAATTATTAACTTAGCTATTGATATTAGATTCAATATTTGATCTTATTTAGTTTTAAATTAAAAACGAATTATTTATACATCAGTAAAAAGCAAAAAAAGACGTTTTTTGGACCTTTAACCCCGATTATCTCCGCTAATATAGTTGCTAATGCGCTAAAATTTGTTTATAACCTAATGGGAACATATATAACCAGCCTACGATTTTTTATCGAAATCGAAAGGGGTCGGTCGAAAAGTTATTGATTTGACATGAAATGACCCAATATTATTTGACTAAAATCTTAATAGGGTCGTTTTTAAATATCGATCAGAATTGGGCATTTTAACAACCCTAATCCTAATAAATATTATAATTAAGTAGGTATTCTATTTAGATTTTATTTTGTTTAAAATGTACAAATCTTACATTAATTTATATAGATTAAAAGTAAAATCATTTTAAATTTTTTGGTGTTGTGTATTTCTATATTTTTTTTAACTCTAAAGAATTTTAAAAACCGTATTGCTTAATAAATTATTTATCGTAAACGACCAGAGGCTTTTATATTTTATGTATCTGAACTGTAACCATAGCCTTAAAACAACAGGGATCCCTGGTTTATGGCCCCATTTGTGAACCTTTAGTTATTATAAATGGGGGCGGAGAATAATTAAAAGAATAATGATGCAACTTAAAGGCGTATTTTTTATTAGAGCCCACACAGAACAAGTCTTCAGCCAGGACTAGAGGATTTAGTATTGTTTAAGCCCAATTCGGGTCGATTTTTTAAAAAAACGGCCCCATTAAGATTATAACCAAAATAACATTATGCAAGCCTATAAATTTTGCTCATAGCTGGCACAGAAATGCTTAGACATCTATTTGCCAAATCTCGATCCTCACATAATATTATTTTAGCCAAATCTTAATCCGGCCATTTTGAAAAATATACCCAAATAAGGCTTTTTGGCAACATTAAAGGGATTGTTGTTATACTCGATTATTTGTTAGTAATGAATTTATAATCTAAATCATTTTTATATATAAATTAATTTTTTCATAAAAAATAAAATATTCAACTCACTTTGTTGGCAAAAGTATCTAATAATTTCTTCAGCTAGAAAATGGAAATGTGATGAATCCTAGGTTAAAAAATTTTTTTTCATAAATATGGATAATGTTACAGGTAATGCAAAAATTATCTAATATTCAAACTAGCCAGCTAAATAGGTTACGAATTTTTTCAGCACCAATTTTGTTTTTTATATTTTTCTCAGGGATCCAAATCAAGCTAGAACCATCAAACCAGTATAAAATTAACCGTTATTTACTTAACATAAACCCAACCTAAATAATTTAAAAAATTGTCACCAACCCTAACTGAACCTCTAAAATGGTTTGTGAACCAGTTTGAACTTTTTGATAACTTTATTGTTATAATATTTATGAATTTTGATTGATAAATTATCAGAGACATTTTAGATATGTATATTGCTATTTGATGGTGCCCATCACTATCCAAGTTAGCATATTCAACCATAAAATTTATTTTTCTCTTTATGGAATAATTTAACAAAAGAGAATTTTGAAAATATTTTTATTGTATTATTTTTATTTAACTCAATGGTATTTTTTTAAAGAAAATATATTATATTTTTTTATTAGCTCCGTGAAGTTGGCCAAACGATTAGAAGTACTGGATAAATCTTGTGCCATTTTTTGATGCTTCAATTCGTATAGTAACGGAAATTATGGGGAAAAAATTATATGCTAATAAAAATTTTGGCCAAAAATCGATTGAAAGAACGATGAAACATATCATTCTTTAGTTTTCCATTGGTAAAGGTTAGGACTTCAATTACTCTAGTAGCCAAAATGAAGATAAAAAGTCATTTGCAAAAACTAGATTTTTGTTTTGGTGTACCGGGATTTTTTGGTTTATTTCGTTAATACCTTCTTTCTTTTTATTTCGGCAATTGAACTGATTAAAGCACTAACCTCTATTAACGAGACACTGGATTATATATCGGTTTTATAGTTAGTTTTTTCATTTATGGCGGTTAACCAAATTAATTACGAAATTCAAAGTTTACTAATCAAGAACTAAATAATGGCAAAAACAGAATGTTTATTGCTACTATAGTATTTGTTTTGATATGTAGCCATTTTGTTGATTTCTTTAATAATTTTTTAATCTATACTAAGAAAGTACTAAAGAGTGATATAAATTTCATCGTAAGTGCTTCTATTATTCGACCAACTTCACGCCTAAATCGTGACGTCTTAACTCTAATTTAGCTCATAACTTTTTTCTTTTCATAAGGCGGTTAACGAAATTAAAGGAAATTTAAATACAATCAGTATTAAATATTGGCGAAAATCGGATGTTTGTAGCTGTCTTTTCTTTTGGTATGTTACCATTTTTTTGTTTATTTCGTAATAACTTTTTGGAAATTTCAGCTAAGCTGATTGAAGCACTAGCTTCTATTAACGAAGCACAAGGAATGGTATATGTTTCCTCGTTAGTGTTTCCATAAGTTCGCTGGCAAAAGCTTGACCTCAAAACATTTATTTTTTTGAAACTTATAATGGGCTTGGGAATTTTTTTTAACATTAGATATAGGCTGGGCCAGGCTTGGGCCTTAAAAAATTTTTTACCACGAGGTTGGGCCAGGCTTGGTCAAAAAATTAAGGCCTATGAAGGTCTCTGCAATAAATAATAATATAATTATAAGTTCTTTTGCTTTCTCTTCCCCCAATTTATCTAAATTATTAATTTAAAAATAATATATTTTTATCATTTATAATAAATTTATATTAAAAGAAATTTATAAAAAGAAAATTAATTTTTTATTGAATATATCTAGTAAGATCTTTAGGCAAGGCCCGAGCCCGTTATTTTATCGGGCCGGGTCTTGGAAATTTAATTAAATATATTTATCAATTTTATATTGAATTTTTTATGTAAAATAAAAATATTTTATTTTATTTATAGAACTAGACGCCATAACATATGTCTTTTATTTTAAGTAATTATAAAAATTAATTTCTGTATTTAAATAAAAACGGGCCAGGCCAGTAAATTTTTTTTAAAAATTTCGGGTTCAGGTCGGGCCAGGAAAACTTTTATTAAAAAAATTTCGGGCCGCGCCGGGCTTGAAAAATTAGGCACGATGAAGATCACTAATATCTAGTAATTTAATTTTTATAACTTGTTTGTATCATAAAATTAATAAAGTATAAATAAAAAAATTTTATCTAAGCATTTGCAGTTTGCATTAGTAGTTTACGTAAGCTAGTGTTGTCAAACGGCAGCTTGATTAGTAAAACAGCTAATCCAATATTTTAGCTAAAACTATCACGCAATAGAGATTTTGTTTCTAGAAGGTAAAAAAGTTTGGACATTTATTAACAAGCTATTGAGGATTGCGTAATATATTTTGGCTAAAATAAGGTTAGCCATTTTAAAAATTAAGCCGATTAACAACATCAATCTACTAGGCATTTCAGTTTAATCAAATCCATATGTATCTGTCTATTGTTTATTTCTATGTTTTTATTAAGTATATAATTTTGATATAACTTTGGATTGTAATAATGTATTATTTTTAAAACATTTTATTTTTTTCTATTATGTCAGAAATATGAAATTTATTAGTAATTGATAAAGAAAATCTTGCAAAATGCATTATTTGCAACGCCCTTATTTCGAGAGACGACAAAGAAAAAAAATATTTAATACCATTCCATAAAATCCTATAATGAATTTTTTGAAAAATAAAATCAATAAAAACAGCGGACAATAACTAATAACTGACATGATAACTAAGTTTTTTAAAATGTTATTATCTAATGAATAATTGAATAGCCCGTTTTTATTCAATTACTCGTTCAACTATTAAACACCATGTAGAGTCTCAACGTGTAGGTACATCTTAGATTAATCGATAGTTTAATTGGCTTTGAATTTCTTTAAACTTGTTTAGGGATATCGAGGAATGCTTAAAGTGTCCTACTATCTTTCTTGTACAAGCTGGAATATCAATTGATAGCTTGCAGCGATAAAAGTGACGTACTATTAGTTGTAATTATGGGCAAAGCAAGAGATACTTTCAAATTTTATACGGTCAAGGCATATTTACATTTTTCATAATCAAAAGCCATATTCAGTGAATTATTGGGTATAAAATAATTAAATGCTTATAATATTTTTTTTATTTCCCTATGATTAATCATCTCAACTAAAATGTGAATAATATTTAAAGCGGGGTGAGATTCATTAAATTTTGCAACATAGTAAAAATTCCTTATTTATATAAAGGCATATCAGGGGAATATGGAATATGTCACCAGAATTACTTGATCAGAGATCTATAATAAATGAAAGATATACTTTCTTTATTCTATTTTGTTAGCATACTTTTTTGATAATTGATTATTAATATTAGGAATTATTTTTTTCTGAGATAACCGTCTACTATTTGATAAGGCATAAGTGTTTTAATAAACTTACAAATCCATTTGGACTATTGAAAATGGTTATTTACCAATGGCCATTATTCCGCCAATATTTGTAGAAATATTAGGAAAAATAATTGATAAACTAGTTGATTCTTCAAATAAAAATCTTTTAAAATATTATAATAATATAATATAATTAGAGACCTTCAGGCCTGGCCCTAAGCCTGGGTACCCAAGCCAGACCCTATTTCAATTTTTTTAAATATACCTGGACCAGGCCTGAAATTATTTTTAAAAAATAACCCGACTGGGCCATATATTTGAAATTGGGCCATATATTTGAAATTGTTATGCCAATCCAATATTGGCACAGTCTTAATTATGTTATACATCTTTAATTATTATTTTATTGTATCTAGAAGGTAATTCCTCATATGACCTAAGGACTAATTAAAATTATTTTAAAAAACTCCTTTAAAATTTGTGTTAACTTCTTTTAATATATTCCAAAAAATATGATGCAAATGCATCTGGGTGAAAAAAGAAAGTTGAGAAATCTTTTTTTTATATAAAATAACAAAGTGTAACAGTTAATAAAAACATAGTATTAAGTCATTTTATTAAATTTAAATAGATCAATAAGTAAAAAAATAAAAATTTAATAAAAAATATTCATTTTAAAATGAACTCTGTTTGAAACAACATTAAAAATAAGGGTATTGACATTTTTTATCTATGTTTGAATTGAAACACAATAAAATGTAAAAAATGGTACTGACATATTTTGTACTCTTATGCCAGTTTCTGTTCAAAAACAAGGGAAGTCCCAATAAATTCATAGAATTATTTCTTATAAAATACATGGTACAAAATTTAGAGGATATAAAATAATGTATTAAATAAATATGATAAAAATTTTTTATAAATATTGCAGCTCCTTTATTTGTGGTAATATATAGACTAGATATATCAGTATGAATATTATTAAAATAAATAATTGATTTATATATGAGTTTTATAGAGATAAAAATTTAAATGTTTTTCTATATAAAATTCTAATAGGTTTGCACAAACTATGTGTTTTATAGTCATAAAAAATTTTAAATGTGCTTTTCTATACATAATTCTATTAAGTATGCATTACCAAAAGTTCAAACAGGAGTTTTAAAGGTTCAACACTAATCAATAAATTTTTTTATTAACTGAACTTAAACAGTTATTTTATCTGAACCTAAACCATTCATTGTGGTTTGGATCCCTGATTAGTGTTATTACCATCCAATTTATTCTGTGTTGGATCTATTGAATCTAGATCTAATTAAAACAGAGACATGCCAGTGTTTTTGGTGTGTTAAGAAATATTGATCAACTGACTCTCATTAACCATGCCCCATTCATTGTTATTATATAAAATATGTTTAAAACGTTTTGAAACCATCAATTTTAATGTTAATTAATCTTTAAAAACTTATTTTAAAAAATCAAATTCATATTAATGTAGCCTAATAATATAAAAGAAATTTGAAGCTGAAGACCATTATAGTAATATAAAATAAAATGTTTGACCTTTACAGTTTCCAATAATGTTTTAAGATTATGAGCCAAATTTTCAAAATCTTGTCTTGTATTTTTAGGGAGTTTTGTGATAGATTTAATAATAGAATCAATATCATTAGCCATATGATCAGAGCTTTGACTAGATATTTGTGAATTTGTGCTAATTATAGATATAGGAGGTTGTTCAATTCTGCATATATTTTCATTTCCTTTGTTATTTAATATATTTAAAAAGAATTATTCATAAAAACATAAAAATTAGACATTCATATATATATATATAAAGTCAGTGGCCCCTACAACAAGGGGGGGGGGGGGGAGATTCTGAAGCAACTGCTTCTAAAAATTTGAGTGAGGGTACTTTTTTTTTTATTTCTTATTTTAATTTTTTTTAAAAAAATTGTTTTTAAATTTAATTTTTTTATTGTTTTGCTACATCCATCCATAATTGATTTCTGGTTTATGTATGTAATAATAAGACTCCCCCCACCCACTTATTAATAATTTAATTAGTATTGACGGAAATTTTGGCCGATGTTTAGTAAATTAGGTTGTTATCTGAGATTTCTTGTCATAAATTATTTTACCAATTTATTCTCAAAAATATTAACCAAAAAAAATAAAATGTGTTAGAAGAAAAAAAAATATCGATCATGAAATTTAATAGTGATATTATTGTGCATGAATCTTCACAGGCACATAAGATGGCCGATTATGGAAGGCTTTCACACAATAAAAATTCCGTATTACAATTTATATTACACCAGAAAGAATGTGTGGATAACCGTTCTATCATAAATAATAATAAGATGTCTAGGTTATTTAATATCTCATAACCAAACCTTCTGGGGGAACAGGCAACAATAAGGCAATATGATGGGCCTTATTAAACTCATTGCAGATTCTGAACCTGTACTGGGAGAAAACAAAATAAGGGTTTAAAACGAAATTATATTCAAATCTATTATCATATAATAACATAAATATTCTCATTGATACCATAAATATGATTATTAAAAAAATTTCAAAATGAGGTTTATTTTAATAGGTGCTTTTCAATCATAGTTGATGGCACATATATGATGTTTCAAAATCAGAAGCAATATCTTTGATAGTAATATATAAAAATAGTGAGATGCCTAAGCCCATTGAAAGACTGACTGATAGACATACATTGTATGGGAAATACAACTGGTCTCGATATTAAAAAGAATAGAATATCCAAACTTGGCTCCATGAATTTACCTCTTGAATTCCTAGTTGGGCAAAGCTATGATGCATCTCAAACATGAGTGGAAGAATCAATGGAGTGCAGGCTGTGATTAGATGGGAGGCGCCAAAGGCAGCTTTTGGTCATCCATTAAATTTAATCATTGTTCAATTATGTCAATCAATAAATGAATTACGAAATGTTTTAGGAATATTATACAAGATTATATATATTTTAATGGTGTTAAAAGATATATGGACAAAATCGCAACGATTATTACGCATCAAGAATACCACTCAGTAATATTATCTTATTTGTTTGGATAGAAGCTGGCTATCATCTTATAAAGCTATTGTAAATTTTTCCTACTTTATGATGCCTTGAGGGCAGCTTTAACAAATTTAAAGGATTCTGAAGATACTGCCACTTCCACTATGGCTAGTGCTATAGTCTTTAGAATAGAAAAATTTTATTTTATTTTATCACTTTGTGTTTTGGATAAAATATTGTTGATAACAAGTTTTACTTGAACAAAATTTCATAACATTTTGAAAGATATAGGGTTTTCAATAAATCAAATTTAATTGGCAAAAGATTGCCTGATTAATTTGAGAAGTATAATTTAAATTGTCTTTAATTCTTTTTTAATCCTAATAGATAATAACACTGAATTTTTGGATGTTTTTTCAAAAGTACAAGATTTTATGAAGGAGAGAAATCTTATTTTATCATTGAAAATTTTTTTTAAACAACTTCATGGGCCAGGTATGGGTCTAATATTATATTTTCTAGCAAGTCTAGGCCAGGCCTGGATTAAAAAAAATTTTGTTTAATGGGCTTGGGCCTAAAATTATTAAATTTAAATTATTTAAAACAGTTGCTAATTTAAAGAAATATTGCCTTTTTTTCTTCTAATAATAATAAATTTCAGTATTGTAAACAAAATGATTGCCTAAATATATTTAAATATTGTTTATTTTCATTAAATAAAAAAAAATAAACTTTTGAATATGGGCTTGGGCTGGATTTGGAAAATTTTTTGAAACTTATAATGGGCTTGGGAATTTTTTTTAACATTAGATATAGGCTGGGCCAGGCTTGGGCCTAAAAAAATTTTTTACCACGAGGTTGGGCCAGGCTTGGTCAAAAAATTAAGGCCTATGAAGGTCTCTGCAATAAATAATAATATAATTATAAGTTCTTTCGCTTTCTCTTCCCCCAATTTATTTAAATTATTAATTTAAAAATAATATATTTTTACATTTTATTTATATTAAAGATTGTTGCAATAAAAATTATTTTTAAAATTTATGGGTGTCAAAAAATAATTGACCATTTTTTCAAAGGACTTGGGGACTTTTCAGGGGGGGGGGTATTCTGCTTCCATTCTTCAGAAAGTGTAGGGGCCACTGTACAAAGTTAACTTAGAACTAATATAATGTAATTTTACCATATTGTTTTAAAAACTAGGTTATTTAAAAATGATTGTTAATTTTAGGCAAAATATTACCAAACATTTCTTTAGCCAATAAAAGATCATCTTCCTCTTGCAATTTTTGCAACCTCAATCTTTCAGCTATTTTTTCTTCTGGAGTCAATTCCTTTGTATTTAAATTTGTCTAAATAAATTATGGTTCATAATATTTAAAATATATATATAAATTAAAATACTAAATAGTCATAACCTTTAATGAAATAGTTTGATGTGTGTCATTGCTTCTTATATTATCAAGTGAGTTGCCCTTATGAGACACATCCTCATTTGCAGAGGGATGTGATAAATTTTTGATCAATATATTTTGTGTTAAATCATCATCTTAAAATTATAATAGGCAAAATTCATTGATATCATCATACTATTAATGTGATTGTTAGATATAATTTGTGATATTAGATTTTCATCCTCCTCATCATCCCAATTATCCTTTTAAGTCAAATAATTTAACAAAAAAATTAGGCCAAAGCAAACTTTGATTTGATCCACCATTTCTTCATCATTGTAAGTCTCTATCAATTTTCTTGATTTAATAATATTTCGCGAGAGATCTAAATCTATTAACATTTAAATAATAAGATTTTGTCAAATTTTACTCTTTAATTAAGATTTATGAGAAAAATTTATCATCAAAAAATATTTTATTTATTAATTATATAAACCACAAATTTAGTATATAAAATGACCACAGATAGCTATTTAAATTGAGCTATTTCAGTATAGAGTATTTCATTAATGATAGTGACTAAAAAACCACAATATAATATTTAATAAAAATTACCCCACTCAGTATCCGACATTAGATGATCGTATATATTGAAGCTTTGCAAAAAATAGATGCGATAAAACGTCATCAGACTATTTGAGGGAATTTGACAGGTATAATAATGTAATGATCGAAATTCGATAAAATTAACTTTTCCACACATAAGATCAGCGTAATGAGCGCCGGGTGAGGAGGAGGGGGGCGGCGTTAGGAGCATTCACTGACAAATTTTATGAAGGGGGATAGGGAGAGGCATTTAAAGGGGGTGGCTAGTGTTGAATTTGGACAAAACCTTATGATGTTTTGCTCCTATGTTATATTTAAAAAAATTTAAATGTTCATGGTTATATTGTCAGAGTTTAATTAACATAATAAATAAATTAAAGGTAATATAAAAATCATATGAATCTAGTATCTATATAAAATATAATTAAGAATCTTTCAATAATGTTTGTAAAAAAATTTCAAAATGTTATCTAGAAATAATAGACCAAAATTAATTAATAAATAATTAATAAAATTACATTTTTATTGCAATGATAATAATACATACACTGAAAATTCATTCATAAAAGTATGTATACAAATAAGCTGGAGCAGCCATTAACGCCATGTCGATTACCTGCCTAATAAAATTTGTAATATAAAAAATATGTAAAACTAAGGCAATGACTTTAAATAAAATATCCTATCAATTATTTCATGGCTATTCTTATGTATTTATCAGAAATTCATGTAAAACTAAAGCAATGACTTCAGATAAAATATCCTATCAAATTCCATGGCTATTCTTATGTATTTATCAGAAATTCATGTATAACTAAGGCAATGACTTCAAAATAAATATTCCTTCAATTATTCCACTGTTATTCTTATGTATTCATCAGAAATTCATGTAACTACATTGTTTTATTGGCACAAAAATTGAAAAGACTTAATCTACAATACTTTAATATAAATTCATTCTCTAATAATAATAAAGACAATAATATTCATAGGTATAATAAGTCCTATGGGGGGATTTTTAAGTTTATGGGGGTTTAGCCCCCAAGTCTCCCATTTTTGTGGACTTTCAGCCTGATTTTGCGACGCCTTCAGATCTTATATATAAACTAGTCAAGTTTTGTCTTGAGTAAGAGCAGTAGCGTCACTAGGGAGAAGCACGCAGGGGCTCGAGCCCCTTAAAAATTTGAATAGCCCCCTGAAGCACAATTTTTTTTAATGGTATCCCCTTTAACAAAAAATAAATTATTTTGATTACCCCTTGAAGGATTTCTTTTATAATTTTATTACGCAATATATAATTTTAATTTTATTATTTAAAAATTAATAAGACTCTCAATTTTTATTAAATGAATACTATTTTAATTATTAGATTAGATTAATATATATAAATAATTTCACTGTGCATGAAATTAAATTCTGTGTTAAAAATAGAATATCATATCACTCACTAAATATTAATTTAGCATTAACAGCTGAAGTTTAATTGACTTTTATTATTTAAATCATTATATCACCCTTAAATAGTTACAATCATTTATTAATTTAAAATTACCAATTTAATATTCTAATAAGCCGAGTTCAAAATCACTAATCAACTATATTATTCATTTATAAATTTAATTACCATGCCTCTTCCTCAAAATATTTTCAAGGTCCAAATAAGTATAGGAGATTTCTTTATAAAAGACATATAGTTTATAATCCCCTATTTTATATAATTGGTTATAAAATATTAGGTAAAATGCCACTTTTATAGACGTATTTGACAGTTATATAATATATTACAGTTAATATTTTAATAAATTTTACTAATTAATGCTTTTGATAATAAATATAAGTAAAAATTTGCATTCAGATCTTTAACGCCATCTATTTATTTAAAATATTATTAAAAATTATTCATCTTATTATTCATCCCACAATGGATGTAATAAATTAGATATCTTTTCTTCTTTTTTTTTTACATATTATTATGAAAACTATTTTTTTCTTATTTGAAAAACAGTTTTGAGTTAAATTTTTATACGAGTATATTTTTGATATTATTATAAACTACTATTATTTCAAGATATAACAACTCGAGGTGGTGCGACAATAATATATAAATTCTTAATTGCTTTCAACATATCACTCTGGTAAAAATATTTCATTTCTAATATGGCATCCTTTCCATGTAAATAACTTAAGGAATCAATATATACATAATATCTTCTAATGATTTTTAGTGTTTTTGTTTTATCAATTTGTCTAACATAATAAATTTGATCTTAATATCATGAGTGTCATAGCTATGACTGCAAATTAACCAGCATCTATTATTTGTGTGGCAATGTAAGTTAAAATTATTACTACGCTGCTGAAAGCATATGATTGCATATTTTTGATAAGCAATATTGGTCAACGTTTAGTCGTTTATACATTAAAAATGGAAGATAATCTTTTAGAAATTTAATATCTCACAATAATTTTCTCGATTATTTATCTAGCTTCCATCATACCATCTAAGAGGAAGCTCTAAACACCATATTGTTTTATGATATGGATTGGTCGTTTATAATCTCTTCTTCAAGAATTATTGATTTGGTTAGGCCTATAAATTTTTCCTTATTAGTCCATTCTATAAAACATTGTCTAAAATGGTCAGATAGTTATATTAGTTTCATGACCTTTTGTCAATGTAAGTTGCTAAGAATAATATTTTATTTTGTGGTTTTTAAAAACCATTATCAATTGAGCCATATGTATGAATTAATTAACCTATATTATCACTTTTAATTCTTTAGAATAAAAATTTTTTTGATATCAGCAAACGAAAATATTTTATACTATAATAAATAGATTTTATATTAAAAAATATTCTTTTTAGAAATGTCATGTATTGTTTTAATTATTTATATGCTAGTTTATTTTGTATGCATAATATAATAAATGAAAAAAAATGAAATTCAGAATTGTTCAGAGTTAGCAAATTAAAAAAAATATAATATATTAATATAAACCCCGGCTGAAGGCCTGACAAAAGCGGAAATTTTTTTTTAGTTGAGCCCCCTGAGATAGTAAAGTCTAGCGATGCCCCTGGGTAAAAGGTTAATTTTAATGTAAATAACTTATTATACTCATCTAAAATGTATAAAATAGCTTACCGAGAAGATGGTATCAAAAATTGAACTTAGTCTTGAATTAACAAGAAATGGTTAATTTTAAATATAGAATAAGAGCTAAAATAAATTTAAAAATAAATGTAAATACTCAATGGAATAACTTTTTTTATTAGTTTGTATATAATAAATTCCAAAATATCAAAATATTTTTAAAATTGCAAAAAATATAATGAATATAGAAGAAAAAAGCCTTAATTTTGAATTTCAATTATGAAAAGTAGGCATACATATAGATCTTATTTTTTATTTGTTTTCTTTCACTCGATTAGGAATCAATGAGTCTTCATCGATGTATCCATTACCGAACTGAGTAGTTTGAAACATATTCCAAGTATAGAATGTTCATTTATGGAGTCTTATTTGCTAATATATAAATCTGAGATAATTAATTCCTTTTTACTACGTTTCATACTCGGGCAGAGTTTAGATGCGATTCCCTAACTTTTTAATGGGGCTTGAGTGCCGAACGATTTAAAGTCTTATCGATTAGTTGTTAGGTAGGGATGGCAAATATATAGCAATTTTATTTGACTTAGCACTTATGTGGAGCAGGAGATTAAATACATTAAAAAATCCCAGGAAAGAATAAAGAATTCCATTTTATACTAACCCTAACATTTAATATTAGACTGCCCATTTGTCATCGGAAGTGTATGGTCTAGTGGGTTAGAGGGTTGTCGAAATGCCAGTAGATTTCAAGACCCTGGTTATCGGTGTTGGTAAAAAGCTCAATTTGGGTCGTCAATTTTAAAAAACGGCCAGATTAAGATTTTAGCCTAAATATTATTAATCTTTCTGCCAGCTATGAGCAAAATCTAGATGAATACATTATATTATTTTGGTTATAATTTTAATTAGGCCGTTTTTAAAAATCGATCCTAATCGCGGGTTTTAACAATGTTCTACTAGCTATAGTAACATTTAACTTTGAATATTTAATGAATCTACAATGCTTGCAAAGTGACGGCCTTTGGAGCTGACCGATTTCACAAAAAATACACCAGATAGGACCATTTTGTAATTGAGTCTAAGACCATTGGCGTGACATAGTTCTTCGTTGCTTAGCCCTTGGTCAAGTTTCTCGATGGAACCATTGAAAATTTGTAACAGCTACTTGCGGAAATGCAAAAGTGTAGAGAATAGTCTTCGGGTTGTCTTCTCGATTTATGGTATGCAGCGGAATTTCTAATTAGATGGTTACCTCACTCTTTCTATGATGCTGACGAGGGAGGATTGACTATTGTAAAAGGATTTCTCTAGAAGCAAGGAGCTATGATGTTTTGTGAGTGTTAAGTCCTGCATCAACTCATTTAGTAAACTACTTTCCGACACATGCTTATCTTCCAAATTTATACTCCAAATCTCCTAAGCATGTTGAGAATCTCGATTCTTTTCCACGTCAGATACATGAAGCGATAATTCATCCACAATCATATTTTTACCTTTCATGTCTATATTCGATGGTAAATTTTGAACATCTTCCAAGCCCAGCAAGTTAACGATAATTAGAAGTCCTAAACTATTTGTGATCTCATATATTGATTCAAAAATACATAATCTAGAGTTCTTGGAGAAAACGGGGGGGGGGGGGGTATTGCAATTGAACGAGGTTTAGCTAAAAGTTTTAGCTATTTTTGTTTTGGCAAAAATCAAACCATATTTATTTCTATAAATAGTTAATCGTTTTTAATATTATTTGTTGTAATATGTATATTTAATCACAGACAATGTATTTACAGAAAATGCAGACCCGGCAGTAAGCTCGTATTTTTATTTTTTTAAATATATCCGGGGTCTAAAAATTTTTTTTAAAATATACAGGCTGGGTCTAAAAATATTTATGTAAAAAATATACGGATCTGGTCATATATTTTAATACGCCATTTTATAAAAATTAATAATAAATGTAATATATTTAAAAAGCACCGCGGGCCTTAT